AAAGAACAAATTTAGTTTTTTTTTAATGTACTGAGTGTATTGCCTACATGCATGTAAGTACACCCATGCAATACAGAGCCCTTAGAGGTCAGAAGAGAGTCTCAGATCTCCTGCAACTGGAGTTACAGACGGTTGTTAGCCACCATGTGGGTGCTGGGAACCAAATCTGGGCCCTTTGCAAGAGCAGCCAGTGCTCTTAACCACTGAGCCATCTCTCCAGCCCAGTAAAAGTTTTTTTTTAATGCCATTTATACTATCAAAATTCATAATATTTTAAAAAGCTGGATGTGATGGCACATGCCTGTGACCCCTGGAGGACAGAGAGATAGGTGGATCCTGGGGACTCACTAAGCAGCCAGCCTAGTTGAAATAACCAGCACTGTGTTCAGTTAATGAAAGAGGCGGTCTCAAAGATAAGATAAGAAAGGGATTGAAGAAGACACCTGAACTTCCTGACTCTGCAGGAAGTTTCTTAGAGAAACTCCCAAGTGGATCAAAGACCTTAACATACAGCATAAAACTCTGAAAATGTTAGAGGGAAAAAAAATGTTAGTATGGGGCAGCACTTCAATATACAGGCACAAATAAGTCCTTCCTGAATAGGACTCTGCTCACAGAAGAAATAAGGCCAAAATAAAAACAATGAAGCTTAAAGTTTTCTGTATAACAAAGGTGAAGACGCAACCTACCAAATGGGAGAAAATTCTGGATAACTATACATCAGACAGAGAATTAATATGCAGAATATACAAACAACTAAAAAATGAAGTTAAATGGGAAAAGAGCCCAATCAAAACATAGACTCATGGGTCAGGCGTGGTGGCGCACACCTTTAGTCCCAACACTCAGGAGGCACAGGCAGGAGGATCCCTGTGAGTTCAAGGTCAGCCTGCTCTACATAGTGAGTTCCAGGCCAGCTGGGGCTATAGGAAGACCCTTTCTCTAAACGATCAGGAAAAAAATCCTCCTGAAACTAGAGCTCTCGAAAGAAGACAGATGGGCAGTTAATAATTTCAAAAGTGTTCAGTACATGGGCCAGCAAGATGGTTTAGTGAGTAAAGGCATTACTGTCAAGCCTGATGACCTGAGTCAATTCCTGGGGCTCACATTGTGAAAGGAGGGAAGTAATTCCTGTGAGTTATCCTCTGGCCTCCACACGTGCACTTGCATACCCACACACATAGACACACACACTAAATAAATGTAACAGAGTCTTCAGCATAAAAGCATTATAAAAAAGTGTTCCGCATCCTTAGCCATCAGGAAAATATGCAAATTGAAACTATTTTGAGATTCCGTCTCTCTCCTGTAAGAATGGCCATTATCCAGAAAACATGACAATACATGCTGGCAGAGATATGGGGAGAGGAGCCCTTATACACTGGTGGTGGGGTTATAAGCTGGTACAGTCACTGTGGAAATCAGTGTGGAGGTATCTCAAAATGCAAAAACAGATCTTCCATATGGCCCCACTGCAACACTCCTGGGCATACCCAAAGGACTCTATATCCTACTACGGAGATAACTGTACATCCATGTTTACTGTTGCTCTATTCACAATAGCTAGGAAATGGAATTAGCCTAGATGTTCATCAACTGCTAAGTGGATATTGAAAATATAGTGCATACAGACAATAAAATGTTATTCAGACATAAAAATTATGGGGGCTGGAGAGGTGGCTCAGCGGTTAAGAACACTGGCTGCTCTTGCAGAGGACCCAGGTTTGGTTCCTAGCACCCACATGGCAGCTAACAACCATCCATAACTCCAGTTCCAAGAGAATCTGACACTCTCTTCTGAAGAAAAAGAACACCGCAAATGTGGTTGCCTTCATGAGCCAGCCTGTCAGCAATCCATCACGGATGGGGGATTAGGGGACTCATGAGGACACACCTATTCCTGAGGTCAGTGGTTGCTGGGGGAGGGATAGCCATATTTCTTAGTGGTATAACTAGGAGTAAATTGCCCTTGCTCAAGTAAATTACTCCCCCGCTTCACCACACACACACACACACATACGTACACTCATGTCCATGCCTACAGCCCTAAAGGCAGGCAGCAGGTCACATGGAGGAGGGGGACTTTTGGGAAAGAAGAAAGGGTTTAGCGGGAGTAGAAGAGGAGAATATGAGTAATTTGGAGGTGAATATGGTCAATGTATGGGAGGGAGGGAGGGCTGGCTGGATGGAGATAGAGACGAAATTGTGAAATAACTGAAAACATGAAGCTATGTGCTGGCGAGGTGCGGAGGGAAAGGAACGCTTGTTGGTGGGAAGGGACAGTAGTGCAGCCTCGTCCACAGAGACTGTGAAGATTCCTCAGCAAGCTAAAAAAGAATTACCCTACAGGGAGACCCTGTCTCTAAAAGACCAAAAAAACAAAAAAAAATTACCATAAGATCTGGCAATCCCACTTCTGTGCATACCTTCAGAGGAGTCAAAAACCAAATGTCAAAAAGGGAAGTCTACATCCCCACGTTCATTGCGGCCTCACTCACAAGAGCCAAGACAGAAACAACTCGCATGACTATCAACAGATGAACAGAGAAAAATGAGATGCAGAGGCAGAGCTAGTCCGCCTTAAAAAACAAAATTCTGAAGCCGGGCGTGGTGGCACACGCCTTTAATCCCAGCGCTCCGGAGGCAGAGGCAGGCGGATCTCTGTGAGTTCAAGGCCAGCCTGGTCTACATAGTGAGTTCCAGGACAGCTGGGGCTACAGGGAAACCCTGTCTCAAAAAGACCAAAAAAAAAACAAAAACAAAAAAACAAAATTCTGTCATTTGCAACAAGATGGATGGCTCTAGAAGCCACTATGCTAAGTGAAATAAGTCAAGGACAACTATCACATCTCATATGCGGACTCAAAAACCAGGCCAGTTGTGGTTATGAGACCCAGTCTCAAAAGACCAAAAAAAATCAAACTCCAGCTGGGCATCCACCTTTAATCCCAGCACTCAGGAAGCAGAGGCAGTTAGGTACCTCTGTGAGATGGAGGTGTGCCTGGTCTACATAGTGAGTTACAGGCCAGCTGGGGCTACAAAGACCCTGGCTCAAAAAAACAAAACAAAAGGTCAAACTCAGAAATAGTAAGATGATGCTTCCAAGCCAGGCATGGTAGCACTCCTTTAACCCCAGCACTCTGGAGGCAGAGACAGAGGCTGGCAGATCTCTATGAGATGGAGGCTAACCTGGTCTACACAATGAGTTTCAGGCCAGCTGTGGCTACACAGCCATCTCAGAAACAAAATGATGCTTCCTAAAGCTGGGGTGGATGGGTGACAGGGGAAGGAAGTATTCACCAGTGTCATAAGGAATCAGGTCTGGTGACATATTGATGTTCCGTAGCTATTTCCTATGAATCAAGACACTCCCTCCTCCAGGGAGAAGGAAGGGGGAGGTTCAGAAGACTCAGGAAGCTCAAGAAACAGGATTCGTAAGGCCCCTCCCCAAGATTGCATACATGATAAGCAATTGTTGTTGGTGGGAAGACACTCTTCCAGGGAGTTGCCTGCACGTTTTACAGGGAGCTCTAAAGATGCAGCTTTTATGAATTGTTACCATTTTAGGGCTGGCTTTCTGGTGACCCTGATGCTTGGGTCATCTGTTAGCCCTGTAGGTAACCTCAATAAACTCACTGGTTCACCAAGCTAGACCTGGGTGGAGTCTTTTCTGTGGTCTCCTGTCAATGCCCTATCTGGGGTGAATAGATACTTGCTCACTTTCTGTAGAAAAAGTCACACAGTCACACAGAAAGAAACAATAATGAATGCATATTTCAAAGTAGCTAAAAATGGATTGAAAATGTTCTCACCAGAAAGAATTGGCAAGGTTGTGAGGTGATGGGTATGTCAACTTGTTCATTCTGCAATGCATAAGGTATTGAAACTACACTTTGTAGCCCAGAAATGCATACATGTTCTTCATTAGAAAACAAATTCACATAGAAATACAAAGACGGCTGGCTGTGGGGGCGCACACCTGTAGTCCCAGCACTTGGGAGGTAGGGGCGGGTGAATCTTAATGAATTCAAGGCCAGCCTGGTCTGTGAGTTCCAAGCCAGCTGGGGCTACAGAGAGACCCTGTTTCAAAAAGATTTATATTTTTTCTTTTGTCTCTCTCCTTTCTTCTCTTTTTTGCTTCCTCTCCCTTCCTCCCTCTCTCCCTTCCTTCCTTCTTCCCTGCCTTCCTTGTTGGGGATGGAGCACAGGGCCTTGAGCACAGTATGCCTGGAACACAAAATGCTTTGGAAGAAGAAGAAAGTTGGAAGACAGCTCCCACACACACACACAGCTTGAAAAGAATTGTTCTGTGGCGTGTGTTCAGTTCTAACGTGTAATAGTAGGCAGTGCCACTCAGAAACCTATCCATTCAGAATACTGTGCCCTGGGTAAGGATGTGTTCCAGAATGTTTACCACAGAATGCGTATGGAAGGCAACTCAGTCTTGACCTGTCAGGAGAGGCTTTGTTAGATTATGGTGCATTGTAAAGGAAAACACAGCTCTACCCAGAGAGTGGCAAACTAAACCTTCTCAATGAGTAGACCGCAGCTGTCCAGTGCTGCAAACACAGAGTTGACAAGTTACAACAGAGCCTGATATGGCCTGCAGGCCTGGAATATTAATGTCTGAACATTTAAGAGGAAGCCTGGCAATTTCTGGCCCAGTTTGTGCATATATTAATATGACAGAATATTCAGGAAAGATCATCAGGGGAGAAACACAACGTAGGGAGTATCTTGTGGAAGTCAAGCCTTGCTCACCCACCTTCCCTCCGCCTTGTGACCAAGTGGCAATGTTCCCAGAGTGTGGCATCCAGGCTTACCGAAATGCACAAGCCATGCCTAACTCTGTCCAGCAAGGCTGTCCACCCCTGTTTGGCCACCTCACTGTGAGGTTCAAGCCACAATCCTTTGCCTGGACTTCAGAGTTCCTATGTGTGCCCCCAGCATCCCACAGGCCCCCACCCTTGGAGAGACTGACCGGATGAGGGGTCCCCTACCTGCCCGCTGTAAAGCAGGTCCCATTAGCAGCTCCAATAGTTGAAAAGGCCACAAAAAATGGGACCACCCAAGATGCTGGATAGAGAACACGGTCTCCGAAGGTCTGGGGAGAAGCAGAGTGTAATCTCCAACAGGGGCCTCACTGCCTCTGTTGGGCCCACACAGCTCCTCTGCCCTTTTGGGGGGCCCACCTCCCCAAGGCACCTTATGGGGCACAGTCTCTGGGGCCCTCTGCTGGAGAAAAGGGAGTGGAAACTGCTTTAGAGCAGCCCAGAGCCCCTCACTTCACTTACCTCTAACTTACCTGGCCCTTCTCACCTCCTTGACCCCTTGTCGGGGCATTACCTTGCTCTGTGGAACCCCAGCCCAAGTTACACTTGCATGCACCCAGGAGGCTAAGGACCAGAAGCCAGAGCCCACGTCCCGCTGCCCACCCTCAGACCTCTAGTCTCAGTGGGTCCCTAGTCCTGCTCTCCCCAGGCTTCCTCCTTCTCATAGGTCACTGCGCCTCCAACAACTCACCACAGCCACAGCCTGGGACTGCAGGAGCTCCGTTGGGGTCATCACCGTGAAGTAGGAGATATTCATGAGGATGTAGCACACTGTCACCAGAGGGATCCCGATGACAATGGCCAGGGGCAGATTTCTAAGAGGGATATAAGATAGGAACTCAGAGTCACACCTGAGTGAGACTGACATCTTCATCCAGTCCTTTCCATCCCTCCTGGCAGCCTTCCCCCTGTTCTGTGGTACGGTAGGGTCCCAGATGCCCTTTCTGGGGCCACCTGACAGGGGATTTGAGATAAAGTAACCCCAGTAGGGACAGGAGACTTTTTCAAAGGAGAGCCCACCTCACAGACACCAGGGCACAGGAGCTGAGTGGTTTAAAGCAAATGAATGCAAGATGAAGGTAGTCAAAATTCTTCCTTCCACTTACCAACCACACCACCACCCAACAAAGCCAAATGACAGTGGCAGAAAGCACATGGGAACCATTCACTCAGGGCTGGGGGCATGGCCCAGTGGCAGAGCACTTTCCCTGTATGCTCAAGGCGTTGAGTCCATGCCTTTAAAATAAATCCACCGAGTGGAACAGGGTCATGAAATAACAGGATAGAAGGAAGGAGCAGTTCCACTTTGTGCCTTGGAGAGGAGAGATACACTGTCAGAGCCATGACCTCCTGTGTCATCCAATTCTTACCTGTAAGGGTTTCTAAGCTCTTCAGTGATATAATTGAGTTGATTCCTAGAGAGAGAAAAGTAATGAGGATGACATGGAACTTGTTACTTGACTTTCTTGGCTAAGATTGTGGAGCAAGTAATAAATGGTAGCCTCATTTTGAGATTCTCCCTTACAGGTGATGTAGTTCAACAGCAGAGAGCCTGCCTAGAATCCCCCAGTGAGGGGCTGGGGGGTTAGGGTTAGCAGTGGAGATCCTGCCTAGGATCCCCTAGGGAGGACTAGGGGTGTGGTTGTGGATGGGGCTCAGAAGTAGAGGGTTTGCCTAGAATCCCCCAGTGAGGGGCTGGGGGTGTGGCTCAGTGGTAGAGCACCTACCTAGAATCCCCCAGTGAGGGGCTGGGGGTGTGGCTCAGTGGTAGAGCACCTACCTAGAATCCCCCAGTGAGGGGCTGGGGGTGTGGCTCAGTGGTAGAGCACCTACCTAGAATCCCCCAGTGAGGGGCTGGGGGTGTGGCTCAGTGGTAGAGCACCTACCTAGAATCCCCCAGTGAGGGGCTGGGGGTGTGGCTCAGTGGTAGAGCACCTACCTAGAATCCCCCAGTGAGGGGCTGGGGGTGTGGCTCAGTGGTAGAGCACCTACCTAGAATCCCCCAGTGAGGGGCTGGGGGTGTGGCTCAGTGGTAGAGCACCTACCTAGAATCCCCCAGTGAGGGGCTGGGGGTGTGGCTCAGTGGTAGAGCACCTACCTAGAATCCCCCAGTGAGGGGCTGGGGGTGTGGCTCAGTGGTAGAGCACCTACCTAGAATCCCCCAGTGAGGGGCTGGGGAGTGGTTCAGTGGTAGAGCACCTGCCTAGAATCCCCCAGTGAGGGGCTGGGGGTGTGACTCACAAGTGGAGCTTTCTTAATGAACAAAGACCCATTAAGGTTCCATCCCCAGAATTGCAAAATAGAACAGAATAAAAGAATGCAAAGGATGTAAGTGCTATGTTTTAAAAGTTACCATAAAGAGAACTCACCCACAGGACCCATGTAGGCAAAGTCCTGTCCCATAAGCCCCAGTGGTGACTGGCCTGGTGCCTACCAAGAACTATGTGTCTGTCAGTTGGTCAAGCCTTTTCTCTCCTTGGCAATCACATGGACTTTCAAGCATATTCAGGGTACTTGGGGAAAAAAATGGAAGCAGGTTTGGAGAGAGGTGCTGCAAGGGGAAAGGCCTGCATCACCACAACCATGCTTCTGCCTTAAAGAACACATACACAGTGGCTGGAGAGATGGCTCAGTGCTTAAGAGCACTAGCTCTTGCAAAGGACAAGGGTTCGGTTCCCAGCACCCGCATGGCAGTTAATAACTGTCCCTAACTCCAGTTCCAGGAGATCCAACACCCTCTTCTGGCCTCCCTGGGCATTGTACAAATGTGGTACACATATATATGCAGACAAAATATTCATACATAAAAATAAAAATAAATACTAATCTTTTAAAAAGAACATTAGCACAGCCTGTCTCACGTTTTCAAGGCTTCAGTGATAGTGCAGTTGACCTTGTCAAATGCTTGGGCAGCTCTGGCTGCCTCTATTCAGCTTAGATGGGATCCTTCTGGTGACAGTTCTACATAGGTCTCACTGTTACAGGGCAATGTCAGGGGCCAATGCCAGTTCTAGGCTCAGAAAGGGGCATGGATAAGACCATGGGGTCAGAGGGAAATTAGAGGGTCAGGGTTTGGACACCACAAAAAAGAATTGTGAAGGTGAAGTTTAGGGTGCCAGTGGGCCCCAGAAAGGAGACATGTTTGCTCTCCAAGCAGTCCAGAGAAACCCAGTAGTGATCTGGGATGTCTTAGGAGAACCTTACCACCCATCGTATGCCCAGAGTCCATTGTAGAATGCCAGGCTGATGGTGCCCACTGAGGTTTGCACACCCTCAAAAGAATTCTGAAAGTTCTTTGTATTTCCTGGAATCAAGCCAGACAGGGAGGAGCAAATATCAGCCGACCAGACTTTGACTTTGTACTTGTCTCCATGGGTAGGACTTGTGACCCCAGGTTATTAAAGGAACTAAAACCACATGTGGAGGCACAAATCTGTCATCCCAACACTCAGGACACTGAGGCAGGAACATCTCAAGTTGGAGGCCAGCCTTGGCTACATGGTGAGACCCTGACTCAAAAAGTAAATAAATAAAGACTACTGTGGTGGTTTGAATGAAAATAGCCCCCATAGGCTCCAAGTGTTTGGACATTTTGTCCCCAGATGATGGTGCTGTTTTGGGAGGTTTTAGAAGGTGTGGCTATCCTGGAGGAAGGATGTCGCTGGGGATGGGCTTAGAGAATTCTTAAACCTTGCTAGACCTTGAGTCGCCCTCTTGCTTCCTGTGCCTGCGTGATGATGTGAGAGCTTAGCTTCTGCTGCTCCTACTCCAGCCACCTCCAGCCACCATGCCTCCCTGCCATGACAGACTGTAATTCCCCTGGAACCATGAGCTCAAATAAACTCTTCCTTCTATAAATTGCTTGGGTCAGTATTTCTATCACAGCAACAGAAAAGTGACTAACACAACCACTAACCATGCACAAGTATGTAAAAAAGAAAACACACACCACTCCGGAAAATAAGAAGGCACATGCTGGGTGGGCCCCACCTTCCTGTCCTTCTGACGCTCACCTTGGGCCAGGAAGACAAATCCGCTGATGATGATGATGGCCACAATCACCAGTTTGGCCGCTGTGAAGACATTCTGGACATAGCTCCCGAGCCTCACACTCAGCGCGTTCACTGTGGTGATGAGCACTGGGAAGGCCCAAGTGGGGTGACATTCCATGTTGGTGGTTTCCCCCAAGGTCTGTCAATCCCTTCCTTTCAATTCCTCCACCCACCCCCTTATGTCCTGAATACAGAGGGTAGATCTAATCAAGCCAGCAGCACCTTTAAAACACACCCTGAAATCCAGCCCGGGGCCTCAGGGAGAAGGAAAACCAGCCAGGCTCTAAGCAGGGCCAGCCCCTCCCTGCAGCCCCCACAGTTCTGGTGCATTGCTCAGCCTGCAGGGATAGCAGGGGGAGGAAGGAGAAGCCAAGGCCAGAGTTCTTGAGCACCAGCCACGGAGGCCTTCCCTGGCCTCTGCCCGGGGTTTCAAGCTCAGGCACTCACAGATGGCAGCCGCAGCCAGGCATTTCACGACCGTGTCAGGAGGCTTGCAGCCGACATAGAAGGGTGCGCACACATACTCCGAAAAGCTGAGACAGATGATGGCGAAGGACGAGGGTTTCATGACGACCAGGCTGGTCCAGGAGAAGAGATAGGCAGGGATGGGGCCAAAGGCCTCCATCAAGTAAGGGTACTCACCCCCTGACTTGGTGATCATTGTGCCAAGCTCTGCGAAGCACAGGGCACCTGGAATACAGAGTTAGGGGCCCCACGGCTCATGAGGCATTTCCCTGCGCCACCAAGCCTTCCTCCCTTGGGGCAGGCTGTGCTCATACACTGAACGTTTGAATCTGGCCTCTGGACCCCTAGCCAGATTCACCCTTATTCACCACACATGTATCGGAGGTATGGTGGCACAGCTAGGTAGGGTGGCTAGGTATGATGGCACACTCTGTGATCCCAGCACTCAGGGTGCTCACAAATTCAAGGCCACCCTGAGCTACAGAAGGAGACTCTGTTTGTGTGGCTTGTCCCTGTACCCCATGGGGGTGGGGAGCGGTTGGGAGGGGGGAACACCAGGGAGTCCCATCTGTTACCCAGTGTCGCCAGGATCCCACAGGAGGCCCATATGATGAGACAAGGCCCAACGGCTTCTGTGTTGGCCAGTACAGACTTGGGAGAGATGAAGATCCCGGAGCCGATGATGGTGCCCACGATGATACAGATGCCACTGAGCAGGCCCACCTGCGTGTGGGAGATGAGCTAATGCTACCAACTGGGAGCTCACAGAGCCAGCGGCCACGTCCCCACCCCCAGTGTGGCCTGAGCAGCCCAAAGGGAACCGTGTCCCAGGCATGTCCACCCTGCGTGTTACAGTTGTAGTAACTCCAGTATGCTTTGCTCAAACGTCAGATCAGCCCTCGGGATAGCCCCAACCATTTCACTAAGGAGGAAACTGAGGCAGAGAGGCTGCTCGGTGTCAGACAGCCTGGAGGAGAAGGCTTAGCTTGGTTCCTGCCCTCCATGGAAAGGCTGATTTAGTCAATAGGTCTCCAGAAACAAGGGCCCTTGGGAGACACATCTTAGCATCTTAGTAGAAAAGAGCACTCCAACAGCTGTGGTGGCGCACACCAGTAATCCCAGCACTCGAGAGGCTGAGGCAAGAAGACTACAAGTTTGAGACCAGCCTGGGCTACATAGTGAGACCATCTACAAAAAAAAAAAAGGATAAAGGAAAAAGGTGTTAGATGTTTTCCCACAGCCAGACAAGTCAGGAGTCCTGGCCAGAGCCATTATGTGAGCAAGACCTCCCAGGGAGAGACTACTGGGGACAGAACTTCCCATGGTGACACTTCAGGGGCTGGAGCAACAAAACCCCAGGTTAGGAAGGCAGCTCGGTGGCAGGCCTGCAATCCCAGCGCTTGAGAGGGGAAGGTAAGATGATCAGGAATTCAAGGTGATCCTTTGCTACATAGTGAGTTTGAGGCCAGCCTGAGTTACATGAGATCCTGGCTTAGAAAATAAAACAATCTATATATTTCACTTTGCATAAATTTGATACCAATTAATGAAGCAAAACTTTTAAGTAAAATACCAAAATAAGGGTAACAGCTGACTTAAGTCTCTACTTAGAACTAGTCAGCTCTTGGGAGCTGCCCAGCCCCCAGGGCTCTATGAACACAAATGGGGTCCCTGAAAAACAATGTCAGTTTCCCTGCAGTCTGGTTTCTTGGGCTTTCTTTCCCTCCATGGCCCCTCGAAGGGCAGGGACTTGTTTCAGCATCACTCAGGAGGCCTCCAGAACCTTCCTCCTATGGAGGGACTGTGACTTGGACACCAGGCAGCCGTTCAGCCTCTGACTTTCTAAGTTTAGAACACCTGGGATTTGCTCACTATGCTGGGTGGCTGCAGAGTCACTGGGTTCCAAAAAGACTTTGCTGAAATAGGGCCTCAGACTAGCAGAGAGGACAATGTTACTGCCCCAGGCCTGACTACTGGGGACAAAGACACCACACCAATCCACATTTGGGCCATGTCATCTCCTATCAGGGCCTAAAGCCTCATGCCATCCCTACCAACGCCTCTACTGCTAAGCAGGGCGTCCCAGAGGGTCCCATCCAGACCTCAGACCCCTGGTGCTGCCCTTGAGGCCATCTGCAGCTCAGAGCTTACCCTGAGCTGCTCTGGAGCTCTGGCTCCTCATCCATGAACCCAAAGGCCTCCCGTCCCTCCACGCCTGGTTCCCTCTGTGCCCACCTACCTGGGACAGGCACAGGGAAGAGTGTCCAGCTCCAATTTGCCTCCATTCCTACCCCAGAGATCCCCTTCCCTCCAGGCCCAGGACCTATGACCCCACCACATGCCAACTCAGCATCTTCAGCTGGTCCCACCAACTGGTCCTTCCTCCCTGCTAGCTGGGCTTGTCCATGCCACACTGTAGCTGCTGGAGCCATTCCCAGCATGAGCTACAGCCGCAGAGTCCTCTCTGATCACCCTAGACCGTTGGTCTGTGCGAATGTGGGGCCCTCCATATACCATCAGACACATGGAAACCATGCATGAATTTCAAGTATATATGTGTGAACTTTAAGATTTCATAAATTCTCTGGTGAGAATTTATGCAAGAGATAAGTTTAGGGAGCTGTTCATTTGTTTATGTACTTTGCAAATTAAAAATCATAGCTGGGTGTGGTAGCTCACACCTCATTCTAACACCTGGGAGGCTGAGGTAGGAGGACGTGGCGTTCCAGGCCAGCCTGAACTCCATAGCGAGACTTTAACTCAATAAAAAAAAACAAGAAAAACATCCCATCCGTCTCCCAGGACTGGCAGGGCCAACTCTGCCCACCGCTGCTTGGTCAAGCCTGACCCAACCACCTCGCACCTCTTTCTGGAGACTTGTGGTCTTGGGTTCGTTGCTTTGGATGGACTTCTCATCCTCTCTCCGTCTTCTCAGACTTTTTTCTTCCATCACTCCCTGCTACTAGGTCCAGGAGGCTGGAAGGAGGGCGTGGGCCATATCAGGAAAGGGGAAAGGGGTATCTGGGCAGTGGGGACCAACTCCAAAGCAAGAGGCACACAGCCCTCAATCCTCTACTGATACCCTGTTCCACTACAGATAAAAACCAGTCATCCATGCTATTCAGGCCCCAAAGTTTAAGTGCTTGCTTTGTGTCCTGCCTCCTCTACTCAGTTTGACCCCCAGCCTTCTGGCTCCCACAGCATGTCACCAGCTCTTAGTCCTCAGCTGTGAAACATTTAAAATACATCCTCCCTCTACAACCCAGCTTCACTGTTTTCAAAACTAAGAAGAAATATTACATTTGTAGATCTATGATAGTTCTTACCTGTACTCCCAGCACAGGGGCCTGAGGTAAGAGAACAAGTTCAGTACCAGCCTGGGCTACCTAGCAAGTCAGGTCAGCCTGAGATACATAGAACCTGTATCAAAAATAAATAAATAAAATAAAATAAAACATACTGAAATATATTAGCAGAATCAAGTCCAAGGCCAGGGATGGCTTCCCTTTCATTGAGTGACATAAGAATTTGAAATAAAGTTGCTGAGGAAGACCCCCTCAAGATGCAGCTAGGGGATGGCAGTGCCTCTCTCTAAATCCCTCCTCTGTCCAGGCTCCAGGAAGGATAGCAGCAGTCTCTCCCATCACCAGGGCCTTACCTTTCTCCCCGAGGAGCCAGAGACAATGCCCGCCCAGCTGACTGCCACCCAGCTGACTGCCTAAGTCTGCACAACCAAGCCCCAGGAAGGGCCATGTCTTGTGCCCAAGAGTGGAGGAAGCCAGAAAGTACAGAGGTCAACAAAGGTAATTATTAAACACCCACCCCACCCCCCTTTTTTGTCTTCTAAGCAACAAAGCTTAGGTGCCACCACTAATAAAAGGAAGGCCAGGCAAGCCCGGCTTCTCTCCAAAAATGCTTTTGTTATCTTGGGCCTAGATCATTAAAACAAAATGGATTCCTTCAGATCAGTGACATCCCATGAGGAGAAATCTCTATAGAGAGCCGGAGCCCTGCCTGCTTTTATCTTTGGGAATCAGAGGAGATAAACTTTGGAACCAGCTTTTATTACTTTAAGGAACTGTATCTAAGGCTCTAGGCAGGCGATACAGCTGTAACTGCTGCATCTCTAACTTCACAGTTGTTTTCTTCCCCTGAGGAATTTCCTCCAAGGAGTCCTGGTGGCCTGAGAGAGCAGGTGGGAGGGTGGGTCAGGCCCGGTCAGAGATGGGGATGCTCCATCCTCAGCGGGATGTCTGGCCAAGTGCTGATAGGTACTAATTAAATGCTGTTCAAGGAGCCCAGGACGTAGAGCAAAACGGGAACATGGAAATGACAGTTCCATCCTTACATCCCCCATGGGGAAACTGAGGCCTAGAGAGACTCAGAAGCACAAGGTCCCAGGGCTTCCATAGAAGGGGCCAGAGGTTCTCTGATTGGGCTCAGAGGGGGTCCTTACAACTTGACCCACTCATGCAGATCACAGCTGTTCCTTATCTCACACCAAGGCTTTGGAGCTGAAGTTGCAGATGGGACATTATGGGGCCGGGGTGCAGTGCACCTTATCTCCATTCAGCCTTAGGGTAAATTTAACCAAAGGTCAGGGCACAGAGAGTCTGGGGAAGCCAGCAAGCAACATTCTTCCATAATCTCTGCTTCAGTTCCTGCCTCCAGGATCCTGCCCTCTAGGCCTTACGTCCAAAAGTTTCACCCAGCAATACTATAGTCAGGACCCAAGCCTTCTGCGTATGAGCCATTGGTGGACATTTAAGATCCAAATTATTGCCAGGCGTGGTGGCACAGGCCTTTAGTCCCAGCACTTGGGAGGAGAGGCAGGCAGATCTCTGTGAGTTTGAGGCCAGCCTGGTCTACCAGGACAGAAAAGACACTACCAGGAAAGAAAAAAAAAAAAAAAAAAAAAGGATCCAAATCGTGACCAGACCACCCAGGTTCCTCTCTCAACCAGAAGGACACCCTTCTGAGGATGTCGTACACTCGGTGAAGCTAAGGGAGGGCTGATGGCCCAACTCCAAGTCAGCCGGGCTGCCCTGATTCCTGCTCTTCTCAAACATGTGGGCGGCCCTGCATCTGTTTCCCAAGTGTTTCCCCTTGACACGGTGTTGCTGCGGCCGGCCCTGGCTGGCTATTCAGCCTTCATTCTCAGAGCCTTTCTTCAGTGAAATCCCCAGGCCCCTCCTGAACAGGCAGACGCCCAATACTCCAGGACTACTGAGGACCCATGAGGGCAGATGCTCGGACCTCAGTTACTGGGGTCAGCTGAAGGACAGGTGGTCTTCAGTATTAGTCCATTTTCTGCCGCCAACAGTACTGTGCCACAGGCTGGATAAATTATGCAAAAGAGAGGCTTATTTTGGCTCGGTTGCTGATTCAAGACTGAGGGGACACATCTGGGGATGTCTCCTTGTTAGCAGAGTCCTGGGGCATCAGGCGTGACAGGAAGCCTTGTGTATGACTGTTCTACCTGCATGTATTTAAGTGCACCACGTGCCTGCATTGCCCATGGAAGAGAGAAGAGGGCACTGGATCCCATGTAATGGGAGTTATGGATGGTTATTAGTTGCCACGTGGTACTGGGAACTGAACCTGGTCCTCTAACAAGAACAGCCAGTGCTCTCTTTTTTTTCTTGATTATATCATTTTATTCACAATTTTCCCCACACAGGAGGCAGTTTAACAGGCGAATGGATAAAATTTATTACAAACAGGCAGTGGAAAAGTATTGAACACTAAAAATAAAATAAAAAACGAGTGAGTTATCAAACTCTAGAAAGACATGGAAAAATCCACCTGCATATGACTAAGTAAAGAAGCCATGCTGAGTTACAGTGTAATTCTAATAACAGGACATTTTAGAAAAGGTGAAACAATAGGGACAGGCAAAAGATTGGTCAGTGGCTGCTGGGACTGGGGGCGTGTGAAGAACGACACTGTAAAGAACAAGTGATCGGAACAGCGAAAATTTTGTACAATACCGTTAATAGTAGGTGAGTGACATTATACGTTTGTCAGAAGACTGAACCCTAAGGTAAACTGTGGGCTTCATTTGTAACATATCAACATTGGTTCCTTAATTGTAATAACTGTAAAATGCTAACAGGTGAAACTGTGTCCTGGGAGAGGAATATATAGTGTGATGGTTAATAGTGCCACCATTTAAATTTTTTTATTTATTATCAGTGTGAGGCATGGAGGGACACATATGCCACACCATGCATGTGGAAGTCAGAGGACAACTTTGTGGGATTGGTTCTCCACTTCCACCTTTACATGGCTCCAGAGAGCGAACCCAGGTCGTCTGGGTTTCAGGTCAAGTGCCTTTACTCTTTGAGCCATCTCACAGGCCCAGTATTGCCAATTTGACAGAACCAAGGAGGGGAGCCTCTGGGAGTCCTGTGAGGGATTACCTTGGTGAGGCAATTGAAATGGGAAGACCCACCCAAAAAGTGGATAGCACCTTCCCTGGGCTTGGCTCCTGGACTGCATATAGGGGACAGCTAGCTGAGCAGGAGCATGTGTTTCTCTCAGCTTCCAGACTGTGGAAGCATTGTGCCCAGCCACTTCAGGCTCCTGCCGCTATGACTTCTCTACCGTGGATAGACTATCCCCTTGAACTGTAAGCCAAAATAAACTTCCTTAAGTTGCATTTTTTCAAGGTATCATTTCAAGCAACAAGAAAACTAAGACATTTAGTAATTATATTGTCCTGCTTGATTTATTCTTAATATTTATTTTTTTATTTAAAACCTTAGTTTAGTTTAATTTTCAAATATTTTAATGGTTCTTTGAGAATTTCTTATAGTATATTTTGATCATATTGAACCCCCCTCTCAAATTCACCCCTACCTCCCACCACCCTCGTTTCACATTCTCTCTCTCTTTTTCTTCAAATAAATAATTTATTGAGAATTTCATACATGCATATAAGGTGTTTTGATCA